ATCCCACTGCCGCCCATTTTGCTATCTTAGCCGAGGATGAGAAGATTTGACCAAGGGTACATTCTGACTAAGGATAAGATTTGGAGTATGACAGAGGATATTCGATATTTCGACACGAGAGGCGTAAGGCCTTCAAATGGAGTTGTCACAGGTGTTGTTGCAAGTGTTGTTTGATGTGTAGGACTGAGCAGTAGTCAAACATAGAGGTGTCGGAGTAGTTGATATAGGTTAAGAGGGTTAGGGTTGTTGAGTCTTTGCCATAAGGGAAATATGTGGTGAGCAGCAAAGAAAGATTCCTGTCCAACACTCATTACAAATATTTTCAAACTGACACGTTGTTGATGAAGCTTGGTCACGTTGGACACACTCCTACCTTCCAGGACCTCTATGGTGTTCCGTATAAACATGCCGGATATTACATGGGTACATATATCACGGTGGTCCAGATCCTACCTACCAACTAACAATAGTAGAATCGAATATCATTATTAACATGAAAAAAATATGCTATGATACAATGATTGCCAACCGACGCCAAATTTTAAAATGGGATAAGCAACTACAGAGTGACTTTGAAAATAATTTTATATTATCATACCAGTATTTTTTTTTTTTCACAATGCAAGCCAGGAAGAGTAGGGTAGGTTCGAAAAGGACGAGGCGGAGGAGAGTCCGGAAAAAAAAGGCCTGGTTGTGGACTTCCTTGGCTTAGGGGAAAGGGGGAGTCTGGGGGGAATGGGGGGAGATGGAAGATCCGCGAATCCTAGCATCTATCACATGCCCGTTGCAGTTTCTTAGATATCAAACTTCTCAAACTCTGCAACTCCTTCTTCCCGCTAGAGGGGAGATCATATTCTAGTGAATCCGATATTGTTAGACCTCCAATATACAAGTCTTTGGTAATAGTGGTCTATATGATACTGTACCCGTACACCAACACACCCAGCGTCTTTCTCCCGCTATGGGTAAGCGCCCAGATTAGGTACTCGTATCATACAGATCAATGACAACTATTCCAAAACAGGTGCCAAAAACTTAGCGAGGAGACACGAGTAGTCGCCCAGCTGCCTATCTCCCGCCCTAGATTAGTTCAAGGTTAACGTTGCCCGATGGATTGATTGATAAAATGTCAAATTGAATTCCGGAAACGTGGTGCGCGATAGGTCAGGTTTCGGGTCCTACGGGTGAATGGGAACCTGGTCTTCCGTTGTGCCATGATCCCCATGTGGGTTTTACTATCATAGTTTGCGTGGAGAGCTAAGGCCAGTGCTTTGTATCATACTCTCGGGATCACAACTAGTAGGCTTTACAGGCGTACTGGCTGTGGATCGGTGTATTTGGGGCTCCAGGGGAGTGGATTCATATTATTAAGCTTTGTCAGTAAGTTAGCCGGGCAAGATTAGGCGCTCACGGGCTATCACTCGGCGTCAAAGAAGGGAATCAGGTATTACTAGACAATGCGCAATAACCTCATCTGGTGAGGATAGTGCTTCCATGTCGCCCCGTCTCGGTATAGTCCGTTATGAGAATGTAAATCCCTGTGAACAAAAAGAAGAGCAGAAAGTGCGACCCCCCCCACCTTAGCTAACCCTCCCAACTCTCAACCCTAAACCCCTTCACTATTCCCTAAAGGACTTCCCGTATTCCTATAATTCCTGTATGATAATATGATAATAATATTATAATAATATTATCATCTCTACTCCCATCGTCTAAAATTCTCTATCCCATATTAGCCGTTGTCGGGTGGAAGGGCACCCACTGGTCAGACCATACCTTTAGGTCTTCCCAAGAATCCCTGTGTTGTTTCGGGAGTAGTGGAAGGTATATCAAGACAGGCTAGTATATGGTACTCAAGAGTTTCAAAATACTATGTATAAATCACACCGGAGAACACAAGACAATAATCGAGAACCCTGTTTGTGTCATAAGTGAAGCTAACTCTTGATCTCACCTGTATAACAGCTAACTTTGCATTCGGACTCTTGCTTCCCATAGCGGTACCAGTATTCCATACTTCTTTTCTTGCTGGAAAAAAAAAAAAGTAAATTATATGCTTACTAAGTATTTTGCTTAATAGCCACTCTTCCAGGTTTAAATTATCGTGACCGGAAGCATAATATTATAGAAGAAAAAAGTAAGCCAACCAACCCTTCCTGTCATACACCTACCCCATCCCACCTTCCCTTTCCCTCCCTTCCATCACTTTCTCCCGCCTTACCAATACCCATACCGAACCATTTTTGCCCGTTCCACATATACATACATCCAACTTGAGTGTTGTAGAGAAATTTCAAGGGTGCCAAAATAAGTATAGAAAAGAAAAGAGAAAACAAGGCAATGTAGTAGCACAACTCCGAATGCGGTAGACAAAAAAACTTGCACACACTAGGAAAGAAAATGAGAGCCCATTGTGGAAGAAAAAAAAACAGAAAAGGCGCAACATAAGTTGGCGGAACACCCCCTCTAGGATTCAACAAGACTGGAAAAAATCTGCGACAAAAGGAAAAAAGAAAAAGAAAATAATCATGCACATTGATTCGCAAATGTGTTCTTTGGCCACTCGTGCTTCGTGGAGGCCCAACTTGTTAGATTTGGGTTCATAAACGCTTCGAGGTGGTCCTCGATATAATTCGTTGTAGGATATCCTGGGGGATCACAAGTAACCGAGCAGTCTTCGCAATCTTCATCCTGCCAAATACGAACCCTAGTGGAAAGAATGAGTAGGCTAAAAATCCGCAATACATAAGAAATGACATACCAATCAACCCTCATTTTCGCCGGGAGTAACTTGTTGATCTCGGCAAAGTCAATGTAAGCGAACGAAGATCCCATTCCCACATTGACAATAACAGACATGGGCTCATTTGGGATCGGCCGCTGCCCAATATTGCCATTGGGCCCAGTTGAAGCAGCATTCATCCTCCATGTCTTCAAATCTCCGATATTCCATTCAATCATCCCCTCGCTGCCCGGCTCATACTCAAACCCATAAGTTTGATACTGCTTCCCATCGTACCAGTCGTTATTCAAAATAGAAATACCAGAAATGGCTTCCTGGAAGAACCCACCACGATACGCATTCATGGCGGTAAACTCAGGGTGATAGACGGCAACATGGTCGTAATCTGGCTGATACCACAGGTCGAAGGGAGCAACTTGAGCAGACTGAGAAGCTAAGCCAACAAGCGTCTTGCCCTCCTTGTCGATGGCTCCAACGGTAGCTTCGATGGCATCTATTTCAGGGGCAGATCTAGATTTTCCAGGGCTCGGATGATCCTCGCCGGCACAAGTACATGCAGGAAGCTTCATCCCCGGAAGGAAACTAATACCATCAGGGCTTGACTGATTTGCCGTGATACCAGCATCGCACTCGTCATGGTAAGTGTAAGGCCACATTCCCTCAGTCGTAGCAAGATATCCCGGACGACCCAGGTTACCCATAGTCCAGAAACCCGGCCAGAAACCAGAAACATCGCCACGCCCAGGAAGGGAAAGGCTTGCTATACTCCATATTAGAATAAATTCGGTAGAAAGGGAATCGGGCAAAACACCTTCAATGATCCCACCCTTGAAACACATCTTATTCCAACTCTGCAGCATCCCCGAGCGAAAATCCAAATCGTGATTCCTAAAGGCGGCGAATTCGATCTCGAGATATCCATCCTTGGTAGTGATAGCATCTGGATCATACCATTCCAAATCACCAGTAGCAGCACTGCAGGATCAAGGTTAATAAAATAACCGCGAAGACCAATGATCCGTCTGCACTCACTAATGAATATCAACAGCTTCCCTATGTAACCAGTCAGCAAGAAATATAGATCGCGATGCATCAGATGTCATACCAATATGGGTCATCCTGGGGGTAGAAGCTCCTTCCAGGTTTATTGAATTCGTCCGAAAACTATACCATTTTTTTTTTTTCAGTTTCATCCCCTCGCGTTTTCCCTCTCCCGCTTAGCTCAGCACTAACCACAAGCTTATATTCTTTCCCAGACGCGGACTTCTTCGTTCTCGCACTCTCAGGAGTATCCGGATCAATTAATGAACGGCGGACATTCTTTAACAAGTCTATTGGGCCGATATCGATACATAACTCCCCAGCATCACAAGGGCTCTCGGGCTCTATAATAACATCTTGCACAAAAGTCCTGCAAAAGCAACCAATTAGCACGAGCTCAAGAGAACGACAAGGATCGATAGTATACAAAATCGGGTATCCAATAAACAAACACAACAATCCCAAAACAATAAACGCCAACCCCCCAACATTAACAAATCCTCTCCTCGTCCATATCTCGCACTCATCCGGATCCTGCTCTGAGGGATCGTGAAGCGCATCATCATCCTCCTTATCGACGGGGAATAATAACAGTCCATCTGAAGACATAATATTGTACTTTTCACTGATTGTTTGCGAATTGAAAACATCCATAGGATCGGGAGAACAAGCTCGAGACGGGGCCCTAGACTCATCGAACGGCGAAACAAAGGGCCCATAAGTCGAACCACCATGATCTGCACTCCAACTAGACCTCCTCGAGGACGTAAGACTGTCAACATACTCCTGGAACCTCTTCTGCCCCGACGGCGGCAGCAACATATCTGACGATTGCACAGGACTCTGCTGATAGAAAGCTGCTCGTGGTGAAGCAACAGTAGGAGATTGTGGAGTCAAAGCTCTCACGGAAGGATTAATCCGAGGACTAGAGTCCGAAGGAGACTGCACACTACTACTAGGATTCCCACCCCGACCGTTTCCATTCTGATTGAGTAGATCCAGAGTACTGGAATTCAACGTTATAGGAGGTGGAAGAGGACGCGGCGACATTTTTGTGGAATTCTTTTCCGCCTTTCTCCGCCCAAGAGAATTCCAATGCCAATCGAGGGGTGAGCGGCAATGATGGTGTTGTTAAAGCTATGTTTGCCAGAAAGGTATATCGTACCGTATCGTGTCTATCGAAAAGGGAAGGAAGGGAGTGGGTGAGTGGGTGAAGTGGAAAAGTGCAAAAATAATATCAGGAATGGAAAAACGAAGGTGTTAAGCCGGGCTAAATTGCTAAATGATTATGAACAAACTCCGAGCTCGCATTCAAAAAAGAGTGGATCTCGACAAGTCTTCGAGATAGTAAATTGGCAGTGAGACGATGCGCCGATCAGGTACGGTACCGTAGGGGGGGAGGAAAACAAGAAATGACAGACAACGGGAGAAGCGGCACTCCCTATGGCTCCTCCAGAGTAGATCTGGTCACTAAGCACAGAAGAGGATGCAAACTTATCTCACACTCCTATCATAGATGATAAATACCTGTTTGTCTCCTCTAAAAGGAGTGTGGACGGGGAAGCTCAATGGAATGTTTAGAGGATGGAAGGGATGAAAGGAAACTCTCTACAAGTACCACTTCCCTTCCGAAAGGAATACCAAGGGAAAAAACGACCAAGGAGAAAATGCTGGAGCAAGAGCTACAGTAAACAGCTGCAAGGGGTAAATCCAACCAAATGTCTCGAGGCGACCAGATGGCGTTACAGCCGCTCATCTGCCTTTCCACATGAGGCAGAGAGCCAAGGCTCAAATGGACATTCCATCCCCTCAGAGTACTCGTACCATATCGGAAAGATGGCTTCATGGAAAAAGGACAGAGTGTGCGCCAATAGGAAGTAGGGACTCCCCTTGCAGTAATAAAAGTGGTTCTCGTGGCAGAAACCTAAGCTTCCCTTCCCGTACCCGCACCTTCCCACGGGATCCCCAGCCTGCCTGTAGATTATTATCGTCAATACATTGACAGGTACCCATTGACAGGTACCGGTACTACCGACTAGTGCCGGTGCTACGGTAGACGATGCGATAAGGTATATACTCGTACTAGCACAACACACACCTTTCACAACCCCCACGACCCTGGCTCAGGACACAGTCAGAAGGCTAAATGATTAACTTACCGGCAGTACGGTCGACTTGGATACCGGTACCCTACCCGATCACTTGTACCATGAACCTGACAAGGCCATTTACGGTATTGAAAAAGAGCCGAGCCAGGCTCCGGACTGGCAAAAACGATAAAAATCAATCCAATTAACCCGGTTTGAATTCAACCGCTCTGCACATCGGTAGAGTAACCTTCCGTACCGTACAATGTGATGCTCCCCAACCCACGCTGGCCCACGCAGGTCTACATAAAAAGAAAGCCTAGATACCAGTGTCCAGCCCCTCAGGACTCCACCGCCAAAACTTTAACCCCCTCCAGAACTCCCTTCTCTTTAGCTAGACCGAGAACGTAATATTCAGCTCGCGCTCCGCTGCCCGTGACTCGATACACTTTTACAAGCGAAGCGTTCCCCCCGGCTATGGCGACAACAGCGTCGCGGACGTCTTCGTAGTCGTTGTGCACGTCCCAGTAGCCCAGGTCCATCACTTTGATCTCCGAGTCGCTTGGAAGGTGCAAGACCTTAGCGAACCCCTCTATCGTACCCGATGCGAGTCAGCGAGCAAGCCACGCCCATCACCCACACACAAGACATGAGTGACGAGGGGGGAGGATGCGATAAAAACCTTCACTGGGCAGCCCATCGCCCTCGTAATTTAATGAAACAGGTTGAAACTCTTCGTCGGCATCGGAAGTATAGGTTCTCCCTCTGAGCGCATTGATCGCAGGGTGGACCTCTTCAGGCACCGAGGTTTTGACGACTTCTTCGCTGGCCTTCGTCGACGCACCTACACCCCCACTCGGCTTGGAATAGTCCTTGTTAGACTTCTCCAGAAAAGCAGCATACTCTGCATCTTCGTTGGACATGGCGGAAAGGTTTTTAATGGTGGGTGCGTATCTGTTGTATTGGAAAAGGTATTTGCGAGCGTGAGTTTTCGCCCTTGATCTTGATGTTGAGAGTACCGGCAGTGAAAACCTGAACATGTCTAACGGGACGACTATGGAACCGTAGGGTAAATGAACAAAATGGACATGCAGGGCAGTGACCGTAATACCGGTATGATACTGCGCCCACGCAAAGAATTGAAAGGGAGAGGCTCGCCCGCCCGATGACGCGGGGCAACAGGCTAAAACCTTCGTCTCGCATCAAACCAAATAAGATCGAAAAGCAAAAAAGCAGGCAAACCGCGATCACGACACACCGGCACAGTAACACGATAACCTTTCGGTGTGTGACGCAATAGGGTGAAGCGGATGGGAAAGGAAGGAAGAAGGGGGAGAAATACCTGTAAATTTAATCGAGTAATCTATTGGCATGTTAACAAGCAAGATCTACCGTACTCGGGCACAGTTGCGAAAGCATCTCTCCGGATATGATACTCGCGAGGCTGCTGCGGGTACTCGAGTACGGTAGACAATTGCATAGAACAATTCAATGAATTTGGCCCTCTTGCTTGGATAAGCAATTCAACGCCAGTTCTCCCTGAAAGCCCCAAGCCTTTCGACCCTACAGAAGAGTACGAGTACTCTAAGGACGATACTCGTGCCGGTAGTCTAGAGGTGCTAGGGGTCTGAGGATCGGTCTGTCGAACTTTTGACCTGGTTGGTGGAAATTGGGTGTGTGTGTGAGGCGAATTGGACCTATGCAGCCGAATACTCGAGCGCTGGTGTCATAGGCCATTCGCCCTGATCCTTGGTAAAGGGGGAAAAAAAGTGCGGAAATTTCGGTGAAGTGGCTGGAGCAAACACCTTCTCTGAGTGGTCGAGAAGGCGTCCCAGCCAACCAGAGGAAGGTCGACAGACTCACCCTTGATACCCGCACGACCCGGTAGACTAACCCGCACAATCCCATTCCCTCCTGCCCCCCTGCTTGTCTACAAGTACGAGTATGCCCGGAATAAAATGCTCGAGTGCTCGGCCACAGTGAGTACAAAAAGCCCCACCCGTCAATTTTGTGTGTGAAGCTTCCCAACTTCTGAGAAAGTTCTCACCACAGACCCCGCCGCATGACTTCTCCCACCTTCACTCCCCCCTACTTGCCATCGATTCGCCCAGATGAGACAGGAAAAGCTTCGGCATTGGCCATTGGAGGTGGGCAGAACATGCTGAGAGAATGTCGCTGAGGGGGCAAGTTTGAATTGAGCCGGTTTCTCCTTGCCTATTTTTTTTTGCTTTTCCTATACCCTTGTTTGCTTGATTCCTTTCTTCTGGCCGTCTTCCTTCGTGTATGATACCGGTACAAGTACTCGAGTATGGTACTGGACGGTACGTTTGCTCAGGGTTTGCACTGCTTCACTGCTCGCTCTCACCTGCACAAAGACACTGAGCCTACCCGAGTCGTACCCGGAGCGGTAGAGAACCCAAGCCAAACCCGCCTCCCGCTACACCTGCTCAAGTATCATACCCTGCACACCGCAAGGCTACGATAGGTACAGTATCATATAATAAAACCCCCCAGAGGGAGCGAAGCAAGAGGAAAGGGGATATCATACAAGAAGCATTGAAGCCCCTCCCCCCTCCCCCCTCCAGAAAAGAAAACCAGCACACCTTTTTTATTTTTTACTTTCATCCCACCTAATTCCAAGTTCCCTTCTTCCCTCCTTCCCTTCCCCTTCCTCGACCCTGTCCACTCCGCCCCTCTTGACCTCTGGTTTTGTTCTCAACACTCATTTCAGTTTGCTTGCTTGCTTGCTTGCCCGAGCAGTACAGAGCTTGAAGTCCAGTCACCAACCAACACCGAAGGCCCGGTCGTACCAGTGACTTCCGCAGCGGAAACATTACGTATACCTCTTTTCGGTACTGGTAAGGAATTATCCTACCCGATCTCATTGCACCCAAACACCAACCCCGAGATTGGGGATCCCGATTTTCCATTTTTTGCTTGATCTGGTGGGGAAGGAAACTCATCTGCCGAAGCGAAGCGCACCCACACGCACCACGCATACACGCAGACGACCCACCACCACCACTGCACAAACAAACTGCAAGAAAGTCAGAAAGGGAGTCTGCCGGTATTTTATCCAACGAATAGATTTCTTCCCCCCCAATCCCACACTAAGTTACGTTTGGGAAGAAGATCCGAGAACCGGACCGCAGCACACTATACTTCTCAGCACACTTGCGCAGACCGAGCAAGGAAGGGAGGAAGGAAGACCAAACGAAAACCCCGAATTACATTTCGCATACCATCCGAACGTACCAATTTACAAACCCTATCGTCCTCAATCGTCATTTCCCAAATGTGCACGGTATCATCCTCCGACTCCCGTGCTCCGGACTACGAAACTGTCGAGCGGCGTTACAACATAGCAGTAAACCTCGAATCTTGGGAACTGTTAGCAATGCACTCCATCGCCGGTAATGAGGTCAGTCTCGCTCATTCCAATCTCCCCCCACCTTTGCTTCGCCGGACTAACAATTGATGATAATAGAGTATCCCGCGCGTCCGCCTCCGCATGTTAAAATCACTCGCCGGCCTCCCCACCCGCGCAGAATCTACCCCTCCGACACCGCCGCCACCAGTAGCACAATCTTCCTCGGGATCTATGGGGAATGGGAGGAGGAGGCTATCGAGAGAGCAGCAGTGATGATTTAGTTCCTGTTCTCTCCCTTTCCTCTTTTCCTTTTTCCTTGTTGCTGGATTGTCTGATCTTTTGCCTGCTAAGTATGATGACTTGCCTAGCGAAGATGGCGCAGATGGGGGTCTCCCCCCTCCCTTCCCCCCCCCTAATTTATCGAAAATTGCGGGTCAGGAGTTGATTTTATCTTTATTTTATGTTTCCCTTAACTTGGTGAGGATCGAGTGAGATGAGAGGTTGGTTGGGTACGATATAATATTGGGTAAATTTACTACAGGAGGAGTATCACGGAAAGGGGACGGGAATTGGATTGCGCTCTCGCAAGATACTCATGACTGTTATAGCATAGATATGCTTTTTAGTACATTATGCTAAAGTACCAATCCAAGAGTTTTCGCTAGTCGCCATAACAGCAACCCCACCACCACTACAAATTTACTACTTTTATGCATTGACAACTGTTCAGAAACTATTGAAATCTGCAATAGACAGTAAATAGATGTAGGGAGACCTTTGTGAGATTATAGAATAAAAATATTAATACCTTGTACACCATCCTTTGCATTGAAAATATTTTATGTCCAAACCCGACGGAGAGCTTCTGCTAGATGTTTTTAAATAGTCTAGTGTCAGGATCCCCCTCCTCCATGCTTTATAAATGTCGAGGAAGCACTGATGTGGCCTTCCTTCAGCCTCTTCCACCAGTAAGTACTCGTACCCAACAGTGTTTATGTAGGATAGATTAACTTAGGTGACTATTTTATTTCTAATGAGTTTTTTTTTCTTTCTTTCTCACCTAATCCAAAAATAAGTCTAAATGGGTCCTATAGCCAACATGTCCGGCGTAGATAAATAGAAAGAAAAGTGCCTCGTATCACTAAGGATACTGAGGGGAAAAGGTACTGGTGCCAATCTTATCTAATAACGCAGTGTCGGGTTATTATTAAAGATGTAAATAAATTTCAAAGCTCAATAATAACGATCAGAATTCAGAGGAGATTGTAGATATCTAGACTAATAGGAGCAGTAGTGCTTGAATTTTTAATATTCATATTCCGTGTCCGAGCATTCACAGACTACCGGTATTCGTAGTGCGTGCATGAGCCTACAGTTAGCTGTATTAGGCTTTTGGTAAACTTCTGCTCAAAATTGCCCCCAGCAGTAAGAATTCAGCGATAGTTACTAGAATCTTTTTTACCAGTTTTACCGCTAGAACGTTTAAATTACTTTACTCCAACTTTCTGTTCATGGATAGTGCAGGATTTCCTGCTTGTATGATATGCCTCCCCCATAAGCAGCTTCCAGTCAGAAGGGCAGTTTGGTGGGTAATGGTCAGAGAGGTATCGTAGTCTAGGTATGATACTAGGTGGTAATCCAGGTGTATGCGTACGGCGTTGTAGGCATTGCACCAATTTCATAGGATGCAACTTTGCTATATAGTTTTAAGTGCTGTGTAAATGTAGCTGTTGGAACTGGTCTCGCAGCAATAATTTATTGCTGGATTCATTCTGGGTATGATGTAGTAGTAGCATTCATGTACTGTGCCGTCCTGTACCGTGCCATTATATACTAGCAATACGCATAAAAAAAAATTATGATAGCATACCGGTACTTATAAACAGTGCTGATTAGGTAGGTGGTTTAAGGACTTTCCAATCTCAGAATAAAAGTGATTTTTTCTTTCTTTCCCTTTCTCATTATCGGTCATGTGTCCAGTCTTAACATTGTTGTACTCGTACTCGTAGTACGAGTAAGGGTACTGGTTGATAGCGAAAGTGAAGGTTTTTTTTTTTTTTTTTTTTTTTTGTGGGGGGGGGGGGGGTACCAAGTAACCAAGGGGAATCCAAAAATGCGGAGGCCGAAGGGAGGAAAGAGGAACCCCCACAAGCCTTAGGGTACCTGAGGGAAATGACCCAAACCAACCCCCAGGAACCAGGAACCAAGCCGAAGACCCCCCAGGTTGGAAACCCGGGTTCCAGGAAAACCAAATTGGCCCAAGGGAAGGAAAAATCCTTTCCCAAGACCACCAAAAAAACAAAAAAAAGGGGGAACACCCCCACCACCGGAACCGCCAACAGGAAAAAAGCCCCCCGAGGAATCCGCCAACCCCAATTGGACCCAGGAAAAAACCCAAAAAAAAAACCCAAGGCCTGGGGAACCCGCCAAACCAAAAAAAAACCAAAAAAGCCCCGGAGGTACCAAAAAAACCGTTGCCACCAAAAATGCCGCCCCCCATTCCCAAAAAAAAACCGGCAAGGGTGGCCACCAAGAAGAAAAACCTTTAAAAACCCAACCCGCCGGAGGGAAACCGAAAAATGAAAAGGGAAGGGGGCCCCTACCACAAGATTTAAATGAAGGGAAAAAA